GGAACCAGAATAAAGGCGATGATGCAGACCGGGAGCCGCAGACACATACAGGCAGCTCACTTTGGAGCTGTGACCCTCAAACACACCCACACACTCATGAGTCTGCAACAAGAACGACAAAACATAAGTTTGTTGCATTCACAGAAAAATAGGAATTAATGCATTAGCAGAAATTCTGTAACACCCACCACCAGGTGGAAGGCTTTGACAGTCCGGTCTCCTGAGCACGTGTACAGCAGCCCGTTGTGGATCTGCATGGCATTCACTGCCTCCTGGTGGCCCTCGAACACACCCTCCGTGGGCAAATCATCCTCACCGTGGTCAGATGATGCATCTGTGAAACATGAAATACACACAAATACATACATGAGCACAAAGATTTCGTACCATAGTTGTTGGTCACTACACGTAAACAGGGTTATAGTTATCTAAACCCTCTTCAGGTTGTAATCTGTTTTAAGCAGAGAGAGAAATTAATTTTTCTCAACTTTCTTCTCAAATATTCAGGATCTAGTTCATCAAAGTAAACAATTGTGGGTACAAAAAATCTCCTCTAAGAAATATCCTATCAGTGTAGGTTTTGTATGTTTGTCCCTGTTGGATAATGAACATTTCAACGACGGGCAGACCAGCGATTAGCGATTAGTACTTTGCAGGATAAAAATACACATTCTCAGAAAGTTGTATCCATTCATCACCGCACTCATCGTGCTGCATCACTGAAAGTCAACAGCTCTATGAATATCATGCCCATAAAAAGTAATTTGGGTACTCCAGAATCTATTTTAACCCCCACCCGCCCACACCTTGTCAACGTCAGATTGGGGGGGGGGGGGGGCTGCCCTACAATTTCTGTAACTTTCCAAAACACACTGACATTCATACCACCTTCACGGTGTGATTGGCCAGCTGTGTGGAGGAAAAAGCTGGATTTGCGCTTCTCTCCCCAGCTCTCTTACTCACTTATCTTTTCACTTTTTATGTGAACAACGGAGTGCAACTCCATGAATGTCTTCCAGGAGAAACCTAAGGCATTATCCAAATATTTAAACCAGTCTCATGTCTCCCTGCCAGTTTTTTCACTCTGCACATCATGCAAACTGGGTAACTCAACCCTTTTAACATGAACACCTCTCCAGAGATGAGCATACCTGATGAGGTCTTCGTTATCTTGTCAAATGAAGTGAAGGTATACTGCACGTCACTGTGGGCACATAGGGTGGAATAATTAGTGATTTGCTTTTTAGCTGGCAAAGTTCCATTTAAAATGATCTGTGATTAGACTCCATACCAAAGATCATCGCTGGTTTATATCACTGGCACAAGACAAATAAAAGCAGTGTGAGGTTCTGGCTGAATGTTAGCCATCATGACCTCTGACCTCTGTCAGCTCTTGCATATTGGAAAAGTCTGGTTGACATGAAAGACATTTTTCTTATGTTTGTTATTAGTGGGTTTGGTGCTTCTACAAACACACCTCCAAGATCACCTGAGTAATGTAGTTAGTTAGTCTAATTTTAACATGAGTATCATATAAGTTTGCTTTAAAATTACATTTATTGTATCCTCTACATGTATTTACTGTTGATCTCACTTGATAATCTTTTTGTATACAAGTCACCTGATGCTGTCAAAACTTTCCTTTTTTTTTTTACAACTTTAATTTTACTGACATTTTCAAGATAAATTAGGGAGCTGACGTGGGCAAAACAAAACTTATACAGGCGCATGGTCTTTCAATGAAAAATGTAAAGGATTATATCTTATTGGCACATGCAGTAAAAATAAATACTATTAAGTATACAACTAAGTATTTCACATATTGTTCATATTGTAATAAGATCTATTTCAATTTCATCACACAGTTGATTTAATTGGCAGTTGTAATCCAACTTTATTATAAATTTTTATATTTATTTATGTTAAGCAAAACTGAGAAAACAAACATTGATACAACAATGTCTAACTAAACTAAACTTAAAAAACTAAACTAAAAATCCACTTATTGGCTTGTTCTGGAGCAGATCACACAGTCCTCCTCAGTACATGGAGTTTGTTCAGTGGCCATGGACCTGTAGATGTAACTCCAGTGTGATATAGTTGAAAGCCCCAGAAAAAGAAAAAGTGGACTTTTAGTTGACATTATTTTGTCAGCGGTTGTCAAGGGTCAAGAAAATGTAATGTGAGCGTCAAGTCTCACCTCTCCGAGGATCTACACACATCCATGTCACTGGTGGAGGTGACCTCGTTGCAGGCCAGGCTCCGTGGCTCAGGTCTTGAGGAGTCACAGTACTGGGCTGGAGGGGGAGCTGGAATCGGGGCATCCATGTGGGGCGGCTGACAGGCTGCAGTGACCTCCATACTTTCCTCTGAATCTAAGTTCACTGCATGTTCAGCGGGGGCCACCTGGAGAAGCTGCGGCATTCGTTTGGGGGACTTGAATTTTAGTTTCTCAAGTCTGACGGCACGAAAAAGCTGCCTAGATATCTCCTCACTTCTCTCTGTGTTTATGTCTCCCTCTCTATCTTCTAAAGGATGAGTGGAGGTACTGACCTGCGAGCTTCCACTGGGTCTCCTCCGTGGTCGAAGCCACTTCGGCCTTAAGGCCTCTCCATCTAACTCTGTGTCGCTGCTCTCAGCCTGCTCTGTCCCTTGGACCTTGTTCAACTCTTTCCTCTTCTTCAGCTTCCTTACACGCTTTCCGCTCCTCAGTTCAGATGGAGAGGCAGGCAGATTGGGGACTGAGGGGGGCTCAAAGGAGTGTGTGGCTGCACCGTCAACAACACTGCCCACCTCAGAGCCTGTTCTGCTATCTGAGAGATGCTTTATGGACGCTTTAGAGTCAGGCAAAAAGGTGAGAGAGTTCCGCGTTGCCTGTATGGCCTTTTCAGTTGTCTCAACCAGTGCTGACAGGCTCTCTTTGCAGTCTGCAAGTTCGCTGAAGTCCTCCCAGTTTTGTTCTGTGTTCGATTGGTACAGCTTGGGCTTTCTTTCAGGAGATGGCTGGAAATTAAGGGCAGGATCTGCAAGAGTTTCAGATGAACATGAATCAGTACACTGCAAATTGAATTACCTTTTTTAATGTATTTCACTGGCGAGTTGCTACAACATTTCTTGGCCTATAACTGCCACAAACTGTCCAACGGTGGTACTGCATGAAAACAGTAGCAGAAATGTACCATATATCCAGTGACCCACTCTTAAAAATATTGCTCCATAGAGCTTCATGACACTGCTACTCCAATTTTGCATTGACTGATGTTACCTGGTGGAGAGGCTGCAGCAGGAGCAGGAGGCAGCTCTGGAGTGGTGCTGTGAGCAAAGTGGGTTATGTTGTCCACAGGATCTGGCTCTGAGCTAACATGGACAGGAGACTGAGGCTCCTGCTTGATAGTTACAGGCATAAAGGAAAGGCTGGAAGAGGGAGGGGAGGCACGCTCGGCAACAGGGCTAGGACTGGGAGCAGCAGCAGTGTCAATAACAGAGGAAAGCGTAGTGGAGAAGGGCACGTGTGGCTCAGCTTCTACTGAATCCATCTTTTCTTCTTTCAGTTTGACCTGCGGCGTTTCCTCCATACTACCTGTATGAAAAATTGCACAACAAAAACTTAATTCAAACGTTTATTGAGTTATGTTTACTGCACTCATCATGGGTCGTTCTAGAAAATGCAATATACTGTATGTATTAGGGTCAAATAGTTATGAATTGGTTTCTATAGTCAGTTTTAGTTGTAGTGGAATGTGGCGTTTGACATTAAACCTCAAGTGTAGTCACTAGCAAGAAAAATGACCCATTAATGCATTTAATAAAACCAAATTTAAGACAGCATCATTTACCTTGCATCCCTTTTAGTAACTCGATGCGCTTGTTTCTCAGTGAGCTCATCTCTCCAGTCATCTGAATAAGACAAATTCATCAAGAGCCATCAGAAAGTGAAAAATTTATGCTTGTTAGTGGGTAATATTATTACTAGTTTTGGGAACATGACATGACGCACACACTAAAAGCAAGAAAAATAAGGGGCCTAAAAAGCAGTGACTAAGAATGAATCCATGTATTTGCCAAATACAATCCTTGGCACACTTTCATCCAGTGTCTCACACGCACTAATAAAAGGTTACACACATGGTTCTCTGAGTGAAAAGACTCTCTCCACCCAGTCATTTTTTGACAAACTTTACTTGACTAGGCAACTCTCCAGGAGAGAATCAGAAGGGGAACTCTCTAACACTCTGTTTCACACTTGGAAACTGAAACAATAGTGTATATAAAACACATACACACCATTTTGTATGCATTGATTTTGTGCAATCAAAACAAAAAGTAAAGGTTGGGCATGTAGGTGCCTTAAATTACTTCAAAGTATTTACCTGTTGTTTAACCACCATGAGACGCTGCACCTCCATGTAGGCAGCCTCTAGTGCAGCCCGGGCCTGGATCAGGCTGGTGTCCACTGTCTGCAGGGAGCGACTCAGCTCTTCCTCCCGCAAAGACACAGCCAGCAGCTGGTCAATCTGTAAACGCTCTGCACAGAGCCCAAAACATACTTGTGAACCAGCAGTGGCTTGGCACAAGCTACAACGCAACTAAGAGTTTCATGTAGTCTTTGAGATCTTAAAACTAATTTAGCTGCACTTTAGCTCACCAAATAGTCAGTAAAATAATACAGTATATATACACATGACTTCATTAATGCAACAGAACTCATAGATACTAACCTTTTTTGGATTTGACCTTCCTTCTTTTGTTATTATGTTCCAAGCTAGAAGTCTCTGCACTTTGAACATCCTACAAGGGAGAAAGAAGACATACATTCTGCTTGTAAATAAAATACTTTTTTATAAAAAGAGTATTAACATTAGACTACTATACCAGACTCATGTATCAAAATTGATGGTGCACAACCACAGATACTGTCTATTTTATTCTATGCATTCTTCTTCCTTCAAAATCTCACACCTACATTACCCACACTGCATCTAAACCTCCGCCAGTTTGATCTGAGATCAAACCGCTAGCCTCGAGCAGAGATGAGTAACAGGCTACAGAGGTCTGGTAAGCTCACTTCTTTGTAACTCACTACCAGCTGTTTTAATCTTCAAACTTTTAGTCTTCAGCCTCAACCAACACTGACTCAAGTGACATCACCTGAGGATATATATCAGATTTTGTGCAGCTCCCTCTGGCTCCAGAGGGACATCAACTTTTTTCACATAGACAGTAGTACTCCCCAAGACCTGAAACAGACTTTGACATTGATGATGTCCCCTTTAACGCAGTTTCCTTTACTCACCCCAGCTGCTCTTCGCCTCTTTCCTGCTCCCTGTCCGTCATACTGCTCAGTCCCCGAACTGCTATCCCCGAGCACTGAATCAGACCGCTGAAGGGCCTTTACTGTTGCAGACGTAAGTGTGTCTGGCTGCTTCTCTTTTTTAGCCTCAAACTGACCAAGTATCTGCTCTACCTCTTGCTGATGCTGACTGTCTTTGTTCTCTTGAGTGTATATGGGACTGGGAGAAATGGAGGATCCCTGCTGCTCTGAGCTAAGGCCTTCTCTTTGTGCCGTCTCCTTTGACATCATGGATGTAAACAGGGAGTGAGCGGTTGCAGGGGCGAGGCTGCTCTCTGACAAGGAGCGTTTTCGGGAGGCGCCCGAGGCGGATATGTCCATTAATGACTCCCATTGGAAACCCTCTAGCAGGGGAATGTCGTCTTCCTCCTGTTCACATGGCACCATTTCTATCCCAAACCTGAAGGATGGTAGACAGAGAGGACAAAACATGAGCTTTAAGTAACTGAAAATAAAAATAACACTGAAAGAACTGCAAACTCTAAATGAAAAATCAAAATTTTACCTTGGCATGCCTTTTCCTTTGTCTTGCTTCTTCCTGACCTCCTGATACACCTGCTCCCAGTTTACATTACGTCGAGATCCAGAGGAGCTGATGAGCTGCCGTACAGTTGGTTTAAGCCCCGAGTCCTTTTCTGTGTCACTTCTCCGCGACTCGCTCAGGTTTCGCACCCGCCTGGCAATGTTCAGGTTGGGCTCGTGGCTACCAGTTTTGCTCTTGGAGCTGATGTGTTTGGTCAGGTCACGTTTTAACACAGGAGGCAGGTCAAGTTTGGACAGACCTGATGTGTTTGACCCTGAGACAGTCTGTGCTTCACCACTTCTGGAGTTGTCACTCTCTGAGCTCTGCCCTGCCTCAACAGCCTGCATGGCTTCATCTGGTGCCACTGGGCATGAATACTTCTCCACTTTCTTTCTGTTCTCCTCGTCTTCCCTGCTTGAGGCTGCAGGCTCTGAGCTCTCCATGGTAGAGGTGCTAACTTGCAATGATTGGAGAAACTGGCCGCTGTCTGAAGACTGCAATGCAGGCTTTTCTGACCTGACAGGTAAATTTGGTTTAGCCGCATTGTGCTTACAGCTGTTTTCTTTGTTCACTCCAATCTGATTCTGGACATGATCCCTTTGCTGCTCCTCCACAATGTGCAGTGTCATTTCCATACTGTTGTTTCTCGATCTATCCAGAGAGCCTCTCTTTTCTAACACAATCTGTTTGGCTTTGTTGACCGTTTCTGGAAGCTTTCGTTCTGTCCTTGACTGAAGGGGCCCAACAGGTGGTGGAGCCTGGGAAATGAATCCACTCTTTTGATGTGCATGCGCTTGACATGAGGCCTTGTTGAGTTTAGCTCCATTGTTGAGACCAAAAATTGAGGACATCTTCTGATCTTTATGTTGTAATGGCTTATTTGCCTTTTGATTGGAAAGACCAGATGTGGAGTTATGCTGGCCATCTCCCTGAGCACTGCTGCTTCTACTACTGCTGCTGCTACTCCTATCACTGAGTTTGGTTTGGGGATTTGTTTTATGCTTCCCTTGCTCTTCCACACTTTGTCCACTCGAGGTCAGCTGCCCTGATTTCTGTTCAGGTCGAGACTGCCTGCTAAAGGCACTTGTTTCTGGTGCCTTGTCTTGCTTCTGGGGTTTAGGGACTTTGGGACTCTTCTCTGATGAGTTTGGGTTTGTTTCCTTGTGTAGTACAGATTCAAAACCCTTTGTGACTGGATAGGGTGACCAGCGACAGGCTTTGTCCAGCTTTGGATTACTACCAAAGGTCTTAGAGCTCTTACTACTGCTGTGGTCAGGTTCTGCGGTTTGTCCCTCTTTATTCTGAAGCCCATCAGCCTGCTGACCTCCCCGGTCGGTGCCGGTATTTTGAACCTGGTTAAGAGCCTGGGCAAAAAAACTGGGTGGAGGTGGATACATAGTAGGCCCGAAAAGGCTCAGGGGCCGGCCCCTTTGTGGGTTCAGGGAAATATTGTTTCGACCATAGACCCCGTGGCTACTGCCTCCGCTGCTGAGCCAAGGCAGTCGACTTCGTTGATTACCAAAAAATGGCCCCTGATCAGACTGCTTGTTGCCCAAACTTTCCTGACTATGCAAGCTTCCACCAGCAAACCCCCCAGATGCCCATTTCTGAAAGTTGGGAGGCTCCTGAGCATGCCAAGTGGCACTCTTTCCCTGTTTACTGTGGTGCCAGGGTTGTGCCTCTCCTGCTCTGGCATTATATCGGTTGTTTCTGTACCAAGAATTGTGATGACTGGATCCACTGAACCCCTGTGATGGCTGCTGCCAGCCACATCCCAGCCGGTACTGCTCCTTAGCTTCCTTTAACCTTTGCTGAAACTCCTCCTTTCTCCTTCGATCCTCTTCTTCTTTTGCCAGCTTTGCAGCAGCAGCCTCTTTCTCTTTTCTACAAATAAAAGACAGACATGATAATATATTTACCTTACCAATGCGTTACATAAACTTCCATACAAAATGTCAGGCATGTAGTGGAAATTCAGAATCAGACGATAATAACTTGCAGGAAAACTACAAAAGTAAGTAAAAACTCAAACAATATTTTAATTTTCACAATGGATCACATGACTTGTTGTATATAGAAAATTTTGACCTGAATCTACCATTCAGCGCGTTTTATCATCTTTAAGCTCTTTGTTTTGGTTTTCTGGCTTGTAACTTTACTGTTTTGGTTAACTTTCACCGTCGCTCAACAGCATAATTTCCAGCTGCATGAATGGACAGATGTGTAAATGGCTACAAGGGGAAACTGCATAAAAAATATTATCTCAAATACACTGGAATTAACACTGTTTTTTTAAAGGATTGGTTGACATTGTGACCTACAGCACTGACAGACTACAGAGCAAAAAGATCTGGCATGTGATTGAGGACAGCTGAACGCCAGCTTTTGCCTTCAACAGTCAAAAGTTTCCATGTGTTTTTTTTCGCTCTCTAATGTTTCCAGTAAGACAGTGAGGTCAACATTGTGTGTTGCCAAACATGCACACAAAATGTGTTTTTGAAGGGATGGTCCTACAGGACAATAAATTTGAGATTTGTGTTTTTACAATCCTAAAACCACAATTTTATATCAAAGGAAAACCTATGTAATTTATTTCAGAATTCAAAGATTCACAAGGATTGAGTAAGTGTTTTTAGTTGTGCTTCACCATTTCTATAGGGCAGAAAACCTGAGGCAGCATGTGTCTGAACTTTGTATGTGCAGTCATGCTTTTTTTAGGCTGCGGTCCTGACATTTGACTCCAGACGCAGCTCAACTTGAAACAGCAGCTAAAACAGGCTTGTGAACACCACTGAGCAAAATGACTATACATGGCGCATGTATACAGAAACATGAGCTCTTGAGTAATCGCTTACCTTTATATTTGTGGTTAAATCATAAAAACATTACAAACACAGACTTAGTAATGAACAGTTAATCAAAGACATATTTATAGTGGAAATACTGCCCACTAAAATTGAGTTTTATAAACTGCCAATATTTCTCATAGACTCCCGTCTAGTGATCAAATGGCATGTCAACAAATTTTAAATATGTATGGTTTTACTACAAAATTGTACCCAAAAATTTACACTTTCATCATTAAATAAGCATTAGACACTTTTTTGTAATTTCCAAAAAATACTTTTTGTAAATACTACATCTTTTTTGTTGTCTATTTAAAGCAACACTAGAGACTCTTATTCCGCCAGCAGATCAAAAGCTAATACCATCAAAAACATGTGTTCTGTAGGATGAATGTTTTACCTGACATGTTCTTTTCTCTTCTCAATCAGGTCTACCAACGCCTGATCGAAGTAGTACTCATCATGGTCATTCCCGGCATGCTTTTGTTCTGCAGCCTCCACATTCTGCTTGTGCGTGGGACTGGAAATGTGGCTGGCATAATCAGTGAGGCTCACCACCGTCACCTTGCACACTCTGCACTCGTGTCCACAGTCCCTGGGGAGGGAAGGCGAGAGTGGGCGTTCAATCGTTCCTTCAGGCATTGTTCTGATCTAGTCTGGTTTGGTGTTCTTGTCTGCAGAGCCGGCAACAATGTACTCTGGCTCTACTTTCTGTTACTTCAAAGTCAATAAAATCAGGAGAGGAGAATACTCAACAATCCTAAGAAAATAACTTGTCCAAATTATCTAGCCGTCTCAGATCAGGAGGTAGCTAACTTGTAATTTCATCTTGTTAAAAAAAGTTCCAATCTTTGTCTTCCTGATCTTGATTTTCCTTTCTTCAGCAGGCCATAGGTGGCAGGGCGAGGGCAGGAGGAGCAGCTAGGCTGGACCCGGGCAGCATGCTACTCTAGTTGTTGATGTCCAGCCATGCAGCACAGCACTGGGACGCGTGGAGGGGAGAGAGGCACGACGCCCAAAGCCTAGTGCGCTTTCATGATGGTGTCTGCTGCGCTCTGCGGCTCTACAGAAGGCAATGTCTGTATTTGACCTCACACTTCTCTCTGCGAGCCAGGACCCAGCCCCCCTCCAGGCCAGCATGTGTTATTAGAACAGGCCTGAGCATCCTGCTGACCAATCCCAAGCAAAGCCCGTGTAACTGGAGCCTTGGGCAGCTGCTCATAACCTCCACTTCAAAACCTCTCCCAAGTATGTCGTCCCGTGATTCTGATAGGGGCAGAGACTTTGCTGGCTCCTTCCCAATTTCTTTTTCAAATCTGTGTCATGGCATGCTGCCATTTTCTGACCTCTCGTGCAGTTGGCAAACTCTTCTCTATTAACGTGATACGTTATTTCTCAGATGCAGTGGTTGGGGAAATACAAACTGAATTAGTAAGGATGAATTCCTTTGCTGGAATTCAATTTGTAAGTCAGCATGGACCTCCCATAGACCTGTATCAAGCTGTATCCAACTTAAAGCTTAAGCCATCTCATTCCTGGACAGACTGTTTTATAAATCACCATGCACTCTTGTAAAACTAGAACTTTTCTTTCACGAGTCCAAAACTTGGCACTTGCTGTCTACTGTTTATATCAAGTTTCTTTTTTTTTGTATTTGTGTAGCGCCTTTTTAGTCTTTGCGACCACTCAAAGCGCTTTTACACTACATCGCATTCACCCACTCGCACACATTCCTACACTGGGTCCAAGTACTCAGAACGGAAAGTGCCATTCATACACCAATTACACCAATACACGCAATTCGGGGTTCAGTATCTTGCCCAAGGACACTTCGACATGCAGCCTGGAGACTGAACCGCCGATCTTCTGATTAATGGGCAACCTGCTCTATCTCTTGAGCCACAGCCGCCCCATATCAGTGTTATATGAAATCCTAGTAACTTGCAACAACTCCGGCCTTTAATCACTATTTGCTCCACTCCAGATTCTTCCATCTCAGCGACAGGCTGCATACTTTCTGTAATCTATGGGAGTCATAAGATAGCCAGTTGCCTTCCATCGGTCAGGCCTGTTGTTCCGGAGAGATTGTGTCTAAATATATGTGCTACAGTTGAGACAGCTGCCCATATATCCACTTGCCTGATAACTTTGATGAACACGTGCCCGTGTGCCCACGTGCCTCATGACCCAAATACATTTGGACAAAACTCTTGAAACAAAGTCAAAGCTTTTGTGTTAACATTAGTAAATGATTGTATATTGTGTTTTGAAGATGCAATTTCATTCCCACTCCAAACAGTCCAAATTATAATACTAAATATTTTGTTAGATGTGACCCTGATTATTCATTAGGAATATGTATCCATGGTTATTATAGAAATAAAAGGTTTCTCTATTACAGATTTCTACAAAAATCTATCTGTGCAACAATGACTCACCGGCCTTTGAGCTTCTCCAGCTCACGGTGGTGCAGCATACTTCTCATGTGCTCATCCATCTCCTGCAGATACAAATTTAAAATAAAGCGTTTCTTTTAGGCATCCATAAACTTGTCAATTCCCAGCAAGTTTCCTTGTTTAGTAACGTGGTAGATAACACTTTACTGATCCACAAGAGGGGAAATTCACATGTCCCAGCACCACAGAACACAGGTGATTGAGACAGATACACCACTTTACAGATAAATTGTAGGATGAAATACATTTTAAAGTAAACAAACCATTTAACATCCAATTAGCTGAAACTCATGAATTGTCACAAATATGACACACAGTGCTGTTCTTTTTAGCTCCTGTAAAGTTGATATCTGGGAGATTAATAATTTTCTATAGACAGTAACTTATGAGACATGACATGTTATAAACATGGGTATTATAATCTTACATCAAAGTACATAAACAAAAATCCCATTCTGTATACAATGTTGATGTATTGATAATTTGTCAAACCCTTAATATTTATTTGTCAAACAACTTGTGTAACTCCAGTGTAGCCTGAGCCCCTGAATGTATCAGATGTAATCATACAGTATTTACACATTTATAGTGTAAATCATGTTTGAAGGAGAATTACCTGCTTGGAGACATGGACTGTTTCACAGAGGATGCACTTTCTGTCTCTCGCCATCTTGAACACAAGCGGAAATCAGCCCATTACTGTTAATAGAAAGAATATAATGAACTGAAAGGACTCACCAATCACAGCTTACAAAAGGGCAAAACAATAAAGTTTTGTAAAACCATCCTGAATTATAAATATATGTGATGTGGTGACTGTGGTTCAACTTAATTAATTATTGTGACCTTCAAAATGTACTCATCAAACTAACAAAGTAGAGGTAGCTCAAGGCTAATATTCTCTACACACATAGCTATTCAACAACATGCCTTGGTACCACAGCCCAAATGCCAGCACGGCGCACAGAGTTCAATCTAGATACTGGTCTAATTCCAGTCTGCTGATTGAGCAACTCCGTGGCCAGGAGGCAGCAGAGCCATGGCAGCATCATGGCTATGTCTGGACTTGTTTAACATTCACAAACAGGGGTGGGAAACTAACGCCAGCCACAAGTCAAAGTGTGGTGAAGTTACGCCTGTGGCTGTTAGCTCTTTCTACACTAACATCACCTTCTCAAGATGCAACTGACCATGTGGGGACCCAGTTCTATTCTAAAAACATACTGGTTAAACATTTGAGGGTTAGTTCATAGAAAAGTTTGAACTCAAACTGTATTCCTTGTAATAGCTTTGGTGCTATCTAAAACAAAACCGTACCAAAAAAAAAACTATAAAGAAAATATTTTTTGGGAATTGAACTGTTGCAATCTGAAGTTAGAAATTTGTACAACCAGCAAAGTTTTGGTTCAAGTGCAGGATGACTTGAAATCAATTTATAAAGAGGAATGGTATCTGGTCACTCTGAAAGAAGCTCCAGTAATTAATGGATGTTTTTGCCACACAAGCAACAATCTAATTGGAACTTTAAGAGAACATAACGTCATTAAATTGTGCTTTTCTAACTCAAATGCACAAAAGCTGGCACTCAAACCTTTCTACAGCCAACACCCAACAAGGCTCTGATGGGTATATTGTTTGGCAAAGAACAAGAAAAGAGGTGAAACACTTGGCCTGGTAGAAAATAATCAAAATGCTATTATGATTAAGATTGACATTTCGGCAAGACTGGCCATCATTGGGTAAACCCCCCCCCCCCCACACACACACACACACAAAACTCAGGATTCTTGTATATACTGTAAGTGTGTATGAAGATAAACTTGGGTTTTGAGTCTAACTGATGAAAGCTAACCAAAATTTCTTCACATGGCTTCTTCTTATAATCTAAGGCAGTGCCTTGTTCTCATCTGTCTAAGCACAAACTTTCTTTGACTAATAATCTGACTAATAAGTCAAACAGCAAAGTTTATGGAAGACCATGGTTAAGGTCTGGAGATCATGTGGTCCCCATTAGTTAGGCATATATTCTGTTTATGACATCATGAAATGCTTTCTAATACATGAATCACCATCTCTTTTCACTCCTAAAGCATCAGAGGGCAACTATTTATAATAATAGTACGATCCATGGATCATGTTCCATTAGCCACTGAATCTCTAGGGGGCAGCAGGATACCAAATCAATCTCCAAGGACTGATCTTAACTACTAGGTTCACCCTCTAGTAAAAAACCCAAAACATATTTACATTACATATTTATTTATTTACAATTTAGACAAACCTCATGCATAAAGTAAAAGAGACGATCGCCTGAACTTAAACGGAGTTGAGAGACCACCACAAAATGTAACGTTAAGTTAATTAGCATTGATTTGTGCAGAATCAGATAGAGACAATAAAAGCACTTTAACAAAAGCAGATCGTTAAGTTAGAGTTAGAGTTGCAGAACATTTGAACATATGTATTACAGTTAAAAACTACTACAAAGTAACGTTAACTAACTTAGGTCACTTAGCAAAGGGTTGGATCCTTGATTGTTGTTAGCCTAGCTGTAGATAGCTGTGGCTGAATTATATTAGGAATGCAGATATCTTCATAATAATGGAGTCGAAAAGCAAACACCAAGATCTGCAAACTTACGAACCATGACTCCAAACAGAAATAGCGTTAACCTGAACTGTTAAGTAAAAGCTATAGCCTTGTTAGCTATTAGTAGGTTAGCAGGCTAGCAACAGCATGCTAACCAGCGACACCAACGCTAACGTTAAACCAGTAACGTTAACGTAGTTCAATAATTTACTAATTATAACAGCGTGAGAGAGTACAGCTAAGATAGCACAATGACTGTATACGTTTAAAATACTGACATATGACTGTTGGCTACCTTTATAACATCCAAAAATGTGTGGGACTACTGCATTTTCTCATCCACCGCTGAAGCTAACAACAACATCCTGCTCCTCGCCCCCAAACGGAACTACAATCCAGGATGCGTTCACGAACATCGCTGTTCAGGAAAACCGCACACCGGGTTCAATCTTAGATGAAATGTTTAACATAATTGTGTACTTTTTATATTTATATATATATAATTGTCACACAAGTAACATGAAGGTAGAGAATTATACTTTTGGATCAGTTTTATTGTTATAATCTTCATTTATACACAGACAAATCCACATTTAACGTTACTGCACTCAAATCTAACTGTGTACTTTTCTGGCTGCATTTTAGTTGTATATTGTTCAAGAAAAGGATAATTATAACAATAAAACAATACGGAGTTTGTTAAAGGTCACAGTTAATTTATCTATACATTCTATCAAGGACGTCAGGTTGTGTTGAAAAGTGGTGGGGACATAAGGGCTCAGATTAGCGGTGTGATACAGTATGTTGAAGAAGTATTCAATGCTAAAATATATGAGTGGAGGTTCTGACTTTAAGCATTAAACACTTAATATCCTGCATTCTGGAGACATTTTCTGCACCATTTTATGGTGGATATGTCTTTATTTGTGTAAAGGGAAACACAAAGTTCAGGTGGCAGGTGACAATTCAAAATATGAAAATATAACAGAATATAATGCAGTAATCAGTAGCTTGTGTTTTTTTTTTATCTTAAGACCTTGTTTTTTTTTTTTTTTAGAAAAATGCAGATTTGTTTTTTCTATATTTATATTGCATTGCATGTTTAGTTATTAGGCAAATACACCTATCTCAAATCATTTTAATTTGTTACCTTTTCTTTTTGAAAGCTATTTTTTCAAAACATTATAACAAATGCTTTCAGAAAGTGATGGGGACAAATTCAGCCATTTCAAATAAAGTGGTGGGGATATGTCCATAGCATCCCCAGTGTAAATGAGTAGTCTATACATTCAAAGTCAAAGTGGGCCGCGGCAGCCAAGATCTTCAACACAAACTGTAAGATTCAAGCATAAAAATATTTCTTTATTTTCCAAAATCTCTAAAAACATAGTGTGTGGGATACAATATTGAATGACAACAAAATTAAGACAATTCAAGTAAAATTTAACAACAATTTGTTACATTATGTTAAAATCTAACAAAACCAACAGCAGTCAAAGTTGGGGCAGGACAGATTTAGCTTACAAAATCATTCTGATAGAAGAAAAGTAGTTCATGGCAATCCCTTTAGAGTTATCAACACACTTGTAATACTTTGTGACATGAATGTGATATTTTCGTTAAAAATGTGGGACACAAAGATAAAATCTATAAAACATTCCCTTTAGAAAAATCTCATACGAGAAATAATCCAAAATCCTAAATTCACATTTTCTCAGTTTTACACCTGAAACAGCCATATGTTTAAGTATCCTTTCAAAAGCTCTCAGACCACAAAAAACATTTTAAGTATCAGCTTTCAGCAACATTTTCTTTTATGTGTGTACAAAAACTGCATTTCCAGGAATATTTAAGAAAACATTTATGAGATGCCTCTTATTTTGAAATGCAACAACAACTAAAAAATCTTGTTGAACTGGCCATTTTTAGGAAATGATTAATCTTAGAAGTATTATTCACTTAGAGCAGACACTCTCTGTCTGTTACATTAGGGATAAACATTCCTTAGTGTTGATACCTATCCAGTGATTACAAAATGGTTCCAGTAGTGACCTTAGTGACCTCAAAAAACACAATCATCAAAAATAAAACTCACATCAATTACTTGGATGATTTGGATCTTTTCAGATTGTGTCAGTGCTTTTCTGCAAAGCATGTCAGTTTATTTGCTTCAGTTCTTTATTCCTCAGATGCCTCTTACGCATCTTGATTATCCACTGAATAGTGAGTTTGGCAAAATTAGCAGCCTTGAAGAGAGCCATGAAGACGCCACAGAGAATGGCTACAGAGCTCCAGGGATTTGCAGTCACTATCTGTTTGGAAGCAAAGTTGTGTTACACACTGATACGGACAGAACAGTTTTAATGAGGATAAAATGTCTGGGTGAACTTGCCAGTCTTATCTCTTGCATAAACGGATCCCGCCATTGAAAGACAGCAAAGAAGAGCTGATTGAGTTTCTCTGATTCAGGCCTTTTGTCATTGAATTTCACCACAGCTGACTAGAGGATCAAACATAAATGATAAAATTACAACATTTCAAAAAAGACATCAAACATTATATTGAAGCATTATATGGTCTGAAGAATAGTAAAGCAATTAAAACAGTTAAAATGTTTAAAGATTTAAACATTCATGTCTTTTTTGCTTGTTACATGATACCCCTGTGTATCTAGTTGTGTCATGTTCTATTATTCTGTCGTTATATGTTGCCTGTTTTTGTTTTGGCTGAAGATTTGCTTGTGAGATGAATAATATTCAGTAAAAAACAGTCGTATTGTCTATCAGACAAGAGCATTTTTATGCTACCATGTTAACCTGTGTATGGTGATATCGAAATGTTAGTGTAGTTTAACAAGCCAGCATAGATGCTCACTCAGCATTGGAGGATATTATAACCCACTACCACGCCGTGCTCCTGACATACAGATGGCACTCAACGTGGTGGGTGTTGCGCGTGAACGCGCAAAACGGAGTGGAGGTAGTAGTCAGTACATTCTTAAAGGCCCCCTGTGTCACCTGGCTCACACATCCACCTTCTAACCTGTTTCCACTTTCCCTCATCAGCCCTGCAGTTTTTATACCAGCCCTTCTCCACCTGCTCCTTGCCAGACTGTCAATGTTGCTTGTGCCTTTGCTTTCTAGAATTCTGAACCTGCTTTATAGTTTGTGTTCCTGTGTTAGGCTGTGTTCCTTGTTCCTGTATTTTGTGTCCGTCTGCCTCCTCTGAATCCTGCAACCGGAACTATTTGCTCTCAAACCTGTATCTGTACCTGCCTTGCCTGTAAGCTTATGCATGTTCAGGCTGTTATTAAAATCACTAAACCCTTCCTTTCTGCCCTGGACTGTCCCCTGCCCCCTGTGACTGCAAGTATATGTACACTGGTTGGAAATAAATACCTCTTGCCGAAACGCGACGGCTTCATTGCTTTTCCCAAACGTCGTCACTAAAGACATCTTGACCCAGGTTCTGAATCCTCCAGAGATGGTCCACGTGGAGTAATTCCTCTCACAATCCCTCATAAAGTCAGATTTATTTGCACTAGAGTCAGAAAACACAAGTAAACACTTTGACACTGCTTTTCACTTTGACATTGAAAAGCAGATGCACAAGCTATTATCAGACTGGGTTAAATCGCTTCAGATAAAATGTCATAACAGTATACTTAATTGATGTTTAAATAATATAATTACATGGAATAATTACACTCTCGGTATCCTGAGCTTCTTCCTCACAAATCCTGTACCTGTCCTGAACTACTTTAACTATCACACCAGGGATCAATACTTGTTGTTTGCAGTTACCTGTCAGTCAAGTCACTAAACTTGGCAAAAAGCATGTAAGTGATGGCGCTGAAGTCCTCTTGTGTTTCGTTATGACTGAACTGGATGAAGATCAACTCTTTGTTTCTGACATCAGATGGGCCACGGACCACCAGAGCTCTTTTCTGTGATAATGAACTTGAGAATTAGTTTAATCTTTCTTTGAAACAAAAAGTTATAATGCTTTACTCAAACTTAGATGTGTGTTTGAACAATTAGTAAAAAAAACCTATCATTTATTTTAAAAAAGGTTCTCTGAAATCACCAGATTGATTTTTTGGACTGACCTCAGTTTGATTTGTAAATGGCCCCAAGTAATTCACTTCTTCAATCACACAGTCTCCTTCTTGAGGCTTGCCTGGGTCCACTAATGGCGGGATGTAGTCATGTTGGTGATGTCTACAGCTCAACAGCTGAGCACTGCCGGGGTATAGAGCGATACCTGCACAAAGAAAACAAAACACAATTGGTAATAAGACATGTTTTGAGACTTACATACAGCAGAAAGCTCTTGGCTGTCTATTATGTCCAACCGCTACTCCCCAAAAACCTTCACTGTATGAATTCATAGCGCAGTTCAAGTTCATAACACCATAAACTTTTATGAGTCCTGTATGTAATGTTGTAGTAGGCAGCAGGAACAACTACGGACAAAACAAGTCAAACTGCATTAAATAAAATGTGTCTGTAATGATGCTCAGTTTATAGAGTAATTAGATGATCTAACACACCCCCTAGTGGCCATATTGGAAGTCCACTAGTACAATTTCATCTTCACAGTTTTCAGCAAACTGTGAAATGTCGTAGTGATTTGATGACTTTAAAGTTCTGTTTCATTTTACATCTACAAAGTGTTAGCTTGTTAGCTAGCCTAACTAACCATAGTATTTAGCCAGCCACAATAGGCATCATAATCTACTATAATTTTTAGCGCAAAGATTTAAGCTAACATTATTCTGAAACTGTTAAATCAAAGTATTTTAGACAATAAAAAGCAGGATGTTGAGGTTAACTCAATAAACTTGACAGGACATCTATATTTTTCTATTCTGTTTGTGTCTTTTAACAGCAGCTGTGAAAACAATACATCCATTTACTTAAGTGCTGTACTTACAGTACATACAATTTTGTTATACTTCTCGGGTGTTTACTTTTACTGCTAGTTCATATGTGTCATTCACTACAGTTTGCTTCACAGTCCCTTCCTGCAGTCTTCACACTGTCATCCCTTCTGCATTATCCCCATCACCTGACTGCCCCACCCATCTACACACCTGTTTCCACTTCTCTCATCAGCCCTGCACTTACCTGGCCTCCTCCTCACCTGCAACTCATTCCCTCATCAGCTACTCACTATGTATACCAGTTCACTTCCTTTGTTCCTTGCCAGGTATTTTTCTGTGTGATCATGTCTTGGGTCCCTGTTTATAACTGGATTTTGATCTTTTCCTGTAGATTGGACCGCTGCCTGCTGCTGCTTTCCACCACAATAGCTGTAACCAACTAGCCCAGTCATGCTCTGAAAATGTCCCACAATTTACCCTCCCAACAGTATGTAATACTTTTACCAACCTGGGGGTGAAAATGAGTCAACCTCTTTGTAGTTAACAGACATGACCGGGTGGTTGAGTTTCTGCAAAAACTCAGAGATTGTCTGGTAGGCCAGGAAAACTGCCACCGCAGTCAGCAGCACGTAGATTAGGATAAGCAACACTGTGAAGAAATTCTTCAGGCATGTTTTACTGAACCTCACCGACGGAGTGCTTTCCCTGATGTCATCCTCTGTAATGAAAGAAGAAAACTGTACCATCACACTCAAGGCTTAACAGACTATCTTTATGGTAAAGTACTTAATTAAAAATGTAGCAACTATGTTAAGGCAGAATCAATCATGTTCAGCTTCTATGACAGCATTTGGACATTCATGAGATAATAAAACCCAGACCTTTAATGTTGGCCAGAGGTTGGCAGCTCACTAAAAATATATGAACTCATTGGACTGTGAGATGTGTTAAGAGTGTCCATTGACACATAGGCTCTTTACTGGTTATCACCTCCTGAGATGCTGCCGTTCAGCTCCTTGTCTGTCAGGTCTTCAGTGGCATCGTCAAAAAAGCCTGGAGACTGTGTGTCACAGTCATCATCATTTAACTGTGAGGTTAAGAAACGGACTTAGGTAAGAGTGTGGCAACAAGTGTCACAACAAAGAAAGATAATGAATGTTAATCCATTATGAATGTGCAATAGTGGAGAAAGAACACAAAACCTTGTCCTGCATTTATTAGAATTATGTAGGCTATAAAATTAGAAGCAGTAAAATGTGTTTTACTAAGGGAAGATCTAGCAACATCCTGTAACCATGTAGTCCAAACTTTAAATACTCCATCTAATGTTGGCTAATCCCTCCATAAATTATTCCTTAACCCTATTGCGCAGAATAACTACCTGGTAAGTGTAGTTGAGTAATGTAGTGCAATTAAAGGTATAAAATCTCCTACAAATGGGACTACAAGTGCCAAAACCCCCCCCCCCAAAAAAAAGTATTTACCTGTATTCAGAACCCTCAGTAACAACTTTGTGATTCTTTAATGATAAGTCTAATTATAGGAGACAAAGTCTTCAACACACATCAATCTGTCTTTAATAACAGGCTATGTAAAGTACCACAGTCCTTAAGAGTATATCTAATTAAATCTTAATTTGCTGCTTTTCCTTTTAATTATTTACATTTATATTTAATAGTTAAGAATTTTGAACTGGTTGGTTGCACATAAAAACAATGGTGAAGCTGTCACTTTGGGCTCTGTGTAATTCTGATGGCATTTACTCACTGTTTTCTGAATTTTTACAAACCAAACAATTGATTAATGGACAAAATAATCAGCAGATTAATCCATAATGAAAATAGTCTAGTTGCAGTCTTAAACAAAATAGTTACAAGTATAACCGCTACAGGGAACATTTTCTTTTACTTTTGACACTTTATTATACTTTTATTTATATAACATTTTCAATGTAGGACTGTAGAAGTTTAACTTGTAACTGGATCTGAATAATTCACCACCACTAATATATTTTTACTGTATTAAAACCAGGGTGCAAAATAACTATTTTCAAGTGAATGTTTAGACTTTACCAGCCACTCAATAGATTACCACTGTTTTCTTGGCTGGTGAATGAAGGAAATCTACCAGCCACTTGCATATTTTACAAGCATTTTGTTCATCTGATTACAATCAAATGTTACAAACACGTAGCTGTAGTCCAACAATGGATCACCTGACTGTCCAGTACTAACAATAGTAAAAACGAAAAAAGGTGTGTGTGGTGAGGGGGGGGTTATAAGGTATCAGTTATAATAAAATACATTGCATTCATTATGTTTATTATGGCAATAGTCCCCCCGAAATGAAAACACTCCTATAGTGACTACAAGTTTCGTTAGAATACGAGATTTTAAAGATTATTTTAGGGCAGCCATGTTTGGTTTTAAAAGAAACAAAGTGCAGCAGCTTATCAGGCAGACTCAAAAAAAAGCCTGGAGTCAGCTAATTTCATAGGAAGCTTACAACAGCAGCAGTCAGTTGTACAGTCACATGATATCAAGTGAGCTGTGCAGTTTTGTCAGTTACTGGACCCTTCATGTCGCGAGGAGGTTACACTTAACAGTTTGAGACGAAGACAAAAAGACAACATAATGACTGTACACACACAAAAGAGACGCACAGCAAAGTAACGCGGCCTTACTTACCTCTTGGTATGACCGGGAGTTGTCCTTACCGATCATTCCTCTGCACTCCTTTCAAACTTATATCTCTAGTCTTCAACCGGGAACCTTTGGGATATTTGTTATAAGTCCAAAAACGTCATAAATAATAAATGCATTTTTAAGGAAATATGACCCCCATTGTCCCAGGCTTAGTGTTCCTGTTTTCCTTTCTAAAGAGAGTCGCACCAAACACCCATGACGGTGATAAAAGCCCGTCCCATGATAGTGAACGAGGCACCTACCGCCCTCGCTCCAATAGCCTTGTGTCCTTGACGTTTCCTTCCTCCTCCCCATAGGTTGATCCCTAGTGCTGCCTTTAGGTGCTGCTGGTGTCTCTACAATCCAAGCTCAAAGGTCAGAGAGCCAAAAAGTGAATTGGACGCAAATACCAAGTGGTGGAGGGAGTATGCCTTTACTTACCACACTGCAAAATACTTTACAGGTAAAAATCCTGCATTGAAAATGTTGCATAGGCTAATAAATGTAAAATGTAGGCTACTTAAAATATCAAGTAAAAGTAATTACCCAGCTGCCTGTTATACTAGCCTTCATCATTACATGATTATTAATCATGCATTCATGTAAAAGCAGGATTTTACTGTTTACTGACATGGAGCTGATTTGAACTATTTTGTATAGTACAGCAACTAATGATTATTTTAAATATAGACTGATTATTTTCTCCATTAATTGATTGTTTAGTTTGTAAAAATTCTGAAAATAGTGACAAATGTCACAATTATGTATGGAGCGCAAAGTGACACTGCAGAACTGAAGAAGTCCTTTGGATAAGGGACGAAACGTCTTCCAGTATCTTCAACCAAGTCCAGTTGCCCTTCATTTTAACCCTCGTTGGATGACACTGCTTGTTTTATCGAACCAATAGTACAAAATTTGAAATTATTACAAATAAATGTAAATAATTAATAGAAAAAGTAGCAAATCCCCATGTGTGAAGCTGCAACCATGACATGATATAAACCATTATAGAGATTAAGTCTACTTGATTAATCAACTAATGGTTTCAGTTATACTTGAGTTAAACAAAACATATTTTCAATTTTATTTAAGTAGCTTTTGTCATTTGTCTGATGCAATTAGGTCATTTTCACCAATGCTGTCTCTGTGATGAACTCTAAATCCTGACTTAAATTCCTCAAATAAACTGTTGTTATGTAGAAAGTCACGAAGGATTGGCGACTGCTTTCTCAAGAGAGAAAGGGAAGGTTAAAAATAGGTCTGCAGTTGGTTAAAACCCTTTGATCAAGAGTTTTTAAGAAGAGATTTAATTACAGCTACTTTAAAGGACTGTGGCACATTGATCATGTCTAGTAAATAAGTGCTAACTGAGGGTAAAACATCTTTAAGTAGCTTAGTTGGGAGTCTAAGAGGCTTAGATGAAGAAATCTTTGAAATTAGTTGGTGAAGATCGATGGGAGAAAAGCAGTCTAAGAATGTTCACAGCTGTTTCTAAAGTTCCTAAGTTGTGAGATAAATCGAGGGCAGAAGGTGATTTTGTGACACCTTCACAATTCTTGTTTTGTCCAACCAAACAGTCAAAACCTCAAAATGATTTTTTTGCATGAAATATTATCAAAGAATTATCAAAATACTTTTCAATACATTTTGAGTCAATTGATCATTGATGTTTTTTTGGAAAGGTTTTTCATTATAACTACTTTCTATGAAATTGGATGGATATTGAAATTAACTTCGGCACATAAAACCAAAACTATATTTGGGGACAATCTGCCATTTCATTTTTTATATAGACTGACTTCCAGAAGTTTCAGTAAAGTATTTTCGTCAGTGGTACCTTTTCATCTAATTCTCTGCAAGAAAGGGAATAAGCATATTTCCCAAAATATCAAACCATTCCTTTAAAAGTGAAGCAAGGAAGTTTATTCTTGACCTGGAAAACACTAATTTGACAAAACTATTCCAAATTATACAGGCACTAGCGAACGGTGCTTTCATGCAGGACACCTTTTGTTATTGTTTCACACTTAAGAGTGATTGTTTATGTCACTGACTTTCAAAAAATGCTCCTCCATAAATGTACACATCGCGCTTAAAATGTATGAGAATTGTTGCCGAGCATAATCTCTCATATTTCCGACGGCTATAAACGCAGCTAAACCCCCATATAACAGCAGCAGGGAAGTGGATGAGAAAGTTTCCGCATCACACACGTCCAAACAACGATCCTAACATGGTAACAGCACGGATTTGTGTCCTGGTTGTCGTCCTTACTACGACTTTAGCGAAAAACGTTATAGTAAAATATAAACCTGGCACCAAACCTGTCCGGTTATTCACTGAGGAGGAGCTGAAGAGATACGACGGCAGCGAGGTAAACTTTATCTGTAACCCATAACTGTGTGTGTTTGTGTTTGTGTGGTCATCCATGTGATAACGAATTTGTTTTTTCCCTCCCTGTTTTAGGAGGGCCAGCCTATTTACATGGCAGTTAAAGGAGTGGTGTTTGATGTCACCAATGGTAAAGGTAGGCTATAGGCCTATAAATCCCACCATTCAACCCCTGGAAATTAGGCTATAATGAGTTACAAGGTTAAAACGCTTCATTCATACAAACAAAACCGTGAAATGAAAATAAAATGTATGCTTTTCAGTCTCTAATCTAAACTCAGACCAGGTATTCACCCCAATCAACTGATTGTGCTGTTGCATTCATTGAACTATTTTGAATTGATATTTTGTGTTACTTATTGCAGAGTTTTATGGAAAAGATGCACCATACAATGCCTTGGTTGGTAAGGACTCAACTCGGGCTGTGGCTAAGATGTCCCTGGACCCAGCAGACCTGACACCAGATACTGTAAGTTTTAGTGTGAACACCTGCAAGCTATTTTTTTTGCCCTGACACTATTTCATCAATTGTCTGGAGTGCAGTTTTTCCCACAGGTTGAGAATATATTTGTCATAGTTGACTCCCATGGATGGGGAGTACTGACATTTTACACCTGAGTGTCAGATGCTACACAATTATACTGAAACTTTAGAGTTTCGTATGAATGCACCATACTTGCAACCTTTCATTCTGCACTTACATCAGTATTTTTACACACTGTACACCTTTGAAAGTAAGAAATAATAAACACAATATAAAATAATCTACAGTATTTGGGTGGAGAGCCTAAAAACATTCAGCATATCAGAAAAACTGGGACTGGACATGTAAAAGAAAATTCCTGCAATACATTAATCACTAAAGGCCATAAATAGATGTTATTTCCTCTGTGTTCCTCTTCTAACCTATTTATATTTTTACACCAAGATGCACCTGAATTTAGGGGTTAATATTTAGTGTTACAGGATCTCCGAGGGACTTTAAAGTTCCACTTACTGATATTTTAATAATGTATGTGTTTGAAGATTGCTTTGTCTGACTTTCTTGTTGTAAGTGCGTTGTGCCCCTAAAATATCTTGTTGAGTGTATTATAGTTCACTTTTATTTATTCAAGAAGTCTTGTTGAGATCGAAATCTCTTTTGCAAGAAAGACCTTAGAGCAAAATACATATTTGCAGCAAAGGGCTGGACTCAAACCCGGGCTGCTGTGATAAGGACTTCCTTTTAATCCCCCAAATAGATCCTGAAATTAATAACCAACTCAAATGTGTGGAG